AAAAAAAAAAAAAAAAAAAAAAAAAAAAAAAAAGTTTGTTGTGAATGCTATTCCGCTTCTTTTCTCCTCTATTTCATCATTTCTTCTTTCTCCTTCCTTTGAAATGATTTGCAAAACATCCCAATTTCCCTTATCTGAATTCCAGGCCCCATGTGATACAGAGGCCAAAGCATCTGCTTAGAGACCAAGAGAGCCGTGAGAGCAGAGATTCTGCTGTGCAGGGCTCCACTTCCCAGCAGACCTGCATTCCCAGGAGTGAATTGAATTGGGTTTGGAGGAGGGAGGGAATCTGGAGCCTCGGAAAACAGGCACCAGCACAGAACCAACCTACATAGCACCTCAAAACAGGGCAGTTTAGAGTAAAAGCTTTAGGCTTTCTTTTGGATTTTAAAGGGTAAGATTTTTTTTCCTAAGTAAAGATTTTTCCTCCCTTTTAAAAAATTAAAGTTATAAATACTTAGGAAATAAAGTGTACTTTTTTCCCCCCATGAAGCTTTTTTTAAAATTTGGCTTCTAGCTATCAAAACAATAGGTTGGTGTATGTCCTTTCATACCTTTCTCCAAGCTCCTATTTAAATGGATATAGGGTTTGAGTGTGTATGTGGTTATTTGCTTTGTAATTAGAGGAGTCATGCTTTATTACTTTACAGTTTATTTTTCTCACTAAATACATTGTGGACAGGTAGAGATCTAATTCACTCTTTTAAACAACTTCAGGCCTATAGATCTAGAAGTATCACAATATATTTCAACCATTTCATCTATTTTTCTTATGAGTTATTTGCTTTTTTTCAACAAGTTGTAGGAGCTCTTTATATATTTATATATTAAGGATTGCATATGAGCTGTAAATTTTCATTTCTATTGCTTATTTTTTTATTATAAAATATAAGATTTTTATTGTAAAATATGTTTTCTATTTTTCATTCATAGTGAAAATTCTTAATTTCTGGATTTCTTGCCTTGTTTAGGAATAACTTTCCCTCCTCAAAGTTATATAAATGTTTTCCTAAGTGTTCTCTTTAGACTTTTATTGTTTTAATTAATCCAGAATCTCCAATCCCTCTGGAATTTGTTTATATATAGTAAGAGGTAGTGGTCTAACTTTGTTCTAGTTATGCCAGCACCGTTTCTTAAATAAACCATCATTTCTCTTTTGCATTGAAATCCCGTCTTTTTCATTAGTAAGTTCCTTTAATTGCTTGTATCTATTTCTGGACTTGGTATTCTTGTCCACAGCCTTGTTTGTCTCTTCTTATGTTAATACCGTATCTTTTACTATAGTGTCTTTATAGTAAATGTTTATCTCATAAGACAAATCTCCTATTTTTCATGATTTTCTTGACTGTTTCTTGACCAGTTCTCTCGGATAATTATTATTCCATATGAACTTTAATTTTATCCATTCCCCTTCCAAAATAACTATTGGTATTTTTATTGAAATTTAATACAAATTATGTAGTAATTTGGGAAGGACTGGCATTTTGGGATAATTTGGCTTTTTTTACCCAAGAGCATGCTAACTGGTTTTGATACTTATGCATATATTTCTGTTTTTTGTTGTTTTTACCTTTAAATTTTTAATAAGTATCATGGATCTATTGTCTAAAGTAAAATAGTATTTCTGTGTTTGTCTTAAATAATCAAGGAACTTAAAAAGTTTTAACTCTGCTCTGTCTTCCATCCTCAATGTTATTATTATCAAGTATTTAATATTGTCAAATATTGTCAAATTTGTTTTTGTCTCTCATTAGCTTTGTTTTATTCAATTAGTAATTTTTAAAATTTAACAGTATGCTTACTGATTTCTTTGCTCACTGTTGATCTAAAATCTCCCTTATTTTCTGTGCTGTTTCTATTGGAGAAGGTTCTTGGGGTCTGTGAATGGTAAACTTGCTCAGTCTTTGCTTGAAAATGTCTTTTGCCTTTACTTTTGATATTTTAGCTGGATATAAAATTACACATAGCCAGCATGTATAATGATTATGAAAATTTTATATGCCTCTTTAAGAGTCTTCAATTAAAAAATAAATAGATCATGTACAAAGTTAATGTCTTTCATTGCTTTTTTCAAGATCTTTCTGAGTCCCAGAAAGAACCAGTGTATTAGTTTACTGCTTGCCTTTTTCTGTGTATATTATTAAAATTTTTAAAAAGTGTATGTACGCAGATGCTGTTTTTCTAAGCATAAAGAATCATGTTCAGGGCCAGCCCGGTGGCGCACTGGATAGTGCGCCGCTTGGGAAGCGGGGCGGGGCTCCCACCCGAGGGTTCGGATCCCACATACAGACCGGTTCCCGCTCACTGGCTGAGCGAGGCGCAGGAGCAACACCAAGGGTTGCGGTCCCGTTGCCGGTCCC